TACCCACAAACACACAATTTCGGAGAAGTTCCCAGAACTCAGCGAGGGTCTTGTGTTACAAGCCCTGTCCACTTTCGCCTTCATTTCGCGGGATGTCAGGACGGATTTGATGCGTCCTGGCAGCGCGGCCCTGGGTGGACAAAGGACAGGGCTCCAAAGAGTCCCTCTCACACCGGCCTGGCCATTCATTCACACGCATTCCAGGACGTTTGCCATGGAAACGCCCCCCATACAAATCCCAACAGTTCCCCAGAAAGTCAAAGGCGGCTCAAATACTAATTTGTCTCACAGACAAGCAAAGCCTTCAGTGCTACACCACTATTATTTGCTGGAACCCCCCCCCCCAACATCACCACCCAAACATTTCATTTTGTTCACGTTTATTAACAGACCTGGGCATGCAAAACTATTACAAACTTTCACAATCAAAAGTACGGTGTGTGATGCACGCTGAGGTCATCATGCAGAAACATACAGTGTTGCAACTCCAACATAGTTTATATGGGTGTATCTGACGAATGCATGTTCAGGTCCAAAATCAAAAGAAAGCCTAAAGAGTGTACACTATTTTATTACTATAAATATATTTATATAATAACTAAGCACATTCTGACCAAAAATTCTCATTGCCACAATGACTTTTTTTCTTATTATTCTAATGGTGCGTTCACGTGCTACGGGAAATAGGCATTTTCTATAACATCGGTATCGGCAGTTATAATGGCCGATAAATTAATATTTAAAAAATAAAATAAAAATGGACGAAACACGCTTCAATCATCTCTCCTTGGCCTGTTATATTGAAAATGTATGTTTTACAATTTGCAGTATGATGTTATCTATTGCTAAATTATGGCTCATCATAGACTAGCTAACCACAAAGCTAGCTAATGCCACTATCATCAGTGGAAGACCGCTAACGTTAACATTAATGAGCTTGGAAACCACAATTAACTTTTTCTACCTAATTAAAGTAATGATTACTGTATTTATAACTAGCATATCTCTAGTTACAGTCCCTGCATTGTAAAATGTAAGTTAGACTTGCGAGGAGTGAACATTTAGACATAGAGAAAAAGTATCAAACGTATCTTGTGCAGAAAAGTTAGCTTTTCTTTTACACGTGTGTGAAATCCAACAATATTTAATAAAAAAAATAAATATCGGCCGATATATCGGATTTTAAAACCCAAAAATATTTGTATCGGTATCGGCCTTCAAAATCCTTTATCGGTCGGGCTCTAATGTGTTGCGTTCAAGTGCTTTTGTTGTCGTAATGTGGTAAAAAGACGGAGATCCAGACCTGTTATTTAGCTAAAACTATTTTAGATTGCTTAAGTCATCTGCTACATCTAGATCACGAATAGTACATATTTTTACCATTCACGACTCTTGCGTTGTTCTCCGCCATTTTGAAAAGGTCAAAGGTTATCTCATCTTGGTAACTCGTGCATCAAAATTTTTACCATAATTACCATAACAGTTTTGATTCCCATTATCTTATTGGAATTACTGTATTATTAAAAATACTGTTTTTGATTGGCATAACATAAATGCGTAACAAACTGTAACACCCTTCTACAATATTGTGGATTTTATATTATATATTATATATATTTTTTTAAAGTATTTACTTATTTATTTACTCATTAGTCTGGCATGATTTTATGTAAATTATATGGACCCTGCTCATGATATGCAGACAATATATATATATATATATATATTGTGGCCACAAATTAAAGGCACAATATGTAAGAATTTTCGTTTAAAGGGCCACTCCACCCATTTGCATTAAGCTTTCCATTGTTAGAAACCTAGTTATACAATTGAATGGTCGTAAAACACTCTCATTTTCCCCTGAGACGAGAGAAATCTGCTATTTACTTTTTTCACTTCCTCCCACAATGATGTAAATATCGTCAGGAAAGTGTAAGAGGGGGGGATTTCAGTGAAGACTATAAGCTCTAGATCTCACCCTTCCAAACCCGCCCATAGGGGGTTGGGCCTAATGGGCTAACAGACCAATCACAGATCAGTGCCAGTGACATATTAGCTTATAAGTTGTGGGAACTATTTGTTCATTCATAGGCCTACATATATTTTTTTTTGTGCAGGGCTCTGTACACTCTCAGAAAAAAAGGTACAAAAGCTGTCACTGGGGCTGTACCTTTTCAAAAGGTAAACTTTTGTCCATTTTAGGTGTAAATGTGTACATTTTAGGGACTAATATGTACATTTTAGGTGTTAATATGTACATTTTAGGTATTAATATGTACATTCTAGGAACTAATATGTACATTTTAGGTACTAATATGTGAATTTTAGGTGTTAATATGTACATTTTAGGTACTAATATGTACATTTTAGGTGTAAATATGTACATTTTAGGTACTATGTACATTTTAGGTGCTAATATGTACATTTTAGGTGTTAATATGTACATTTTAGGTACTGATATGTACATTTTAGGTACTAATATGTGAATTTTAGGTGTTAATATGTACATTTTAGGTGTTAATATGTACATTTTAGGTACTATGTACATTTTAGGTGCTAATATGTACATTTTAGGTGTTGATATGTACATTTTAGGTATTAATATGTACATTTTAGGAACTAATATGTACATTTTAGGTACTAATATGTAAATTTTAGGTGTTAATATGTACATTTTTGGTACTAATATGTACATTTTAGGTGTTAATATGTACATTTTAGGTGTAAATATGTACATTTTAGGTACTATGTGCATTTTAGGTGCTAATAAGTACATTTTAGGTGTTAATATGTACATTTTAGGTACTGATATGTACATTTTAGGTACTAATATGTACATTTTACTTGTTAATATGTACATTTTAGGTGCTAATATGTACCACTAAGGTAAGAAAGTGTACCATTTGAAAAGGTACAGCCCCAGTGACAACTTTTGTACCTTTTTTTTCTGAGAGTGTAATTGTAATAAATTGTCACACAGAAAAAAATCCTCATGGTCCTAAAAAGTAGCTTAATTTTCTTTATAATTAGATTGTTAGTAAAAACCCGCATTGTTAGTAAAAGTGTGAAGAGATTGTTTTTAGGATGGTGTAATAGATATGTATAAATGTAGTTTTTTTTTTTGTGTGTGTGTACATGGTTTATCATGAAAATGTCTCGTTAAAAAAAAAAATCAAGGACCACAAGGAAAATAAGTTAATGCAACTTTGTGTTATCCTTCACAATGAAGTTGTAACAATGTTATATTGCTACTTTTTATGTCAAATAAAATCAAAGTCAAACAGATTGCAGATTTCGTAAGATCATTCAGATTCCTCTGCCTACACATGGGTGAGTCTATGTACTTTATTCCCATTAATAATTGATACAGGTCTCTGCATGACTGCGTTACACACACTCCGAGTGAGTTCAACTACATCCTTTCAACCGTTTTCCTGTTTTCCTCTTCTGTCAGTAAATTTCCATTGGATAGAGATGTTATATAACAAAAGCCGGTCAGTAGATACCATGGCAACTTAACCGAACATAATATTGATGCATCTTGTTCAAACTGAGAGTGGACCGCTTTAAAGACCTGAGACGTCAGCCAGTCTAATCCACAAGTTTATCTTGAATATTTCTGGTTATCCATTTAAAATGACATATAGTTCACACCAGCTACAGACCAGCACTCAACAACTCCCATAAATCTCCATCCATCATTCCCTGTTTTCCCATCCGGCCTCAATAATGGCTGTTCGGTGCTTTGTAAACACTATCTAATTCGTTACGGTCCTTATCCACGAATGGCCATCTCTGACCCCTCGGCTGGCCCTCCCCCCTTTCTCTTTTTTACGACAGAGAGGTGGACCCAAAAACAAGCACCTAAATGTCACCCAAAGTCTCGACTTAAATATATGAGGTCAATGTAGCGTTTTACAGCCCTGAGAGAGGCCCATCTTATCTCAAAGACACTGTTGACATAGCATGTTTTAATGGACTGTGAAAGCAACGATACTTGGTCAGTTTAAGACAAACCACAGGTAAGGGATCTACTCTTATAAACACAGGCTAATAGCTCATAGTGCACTTAGTGAGTATATGAAGTTGGCCAAACATGATAATTTCAGCAAAGATGGATGAAGACACGGCCGAGTTATTATTCAGGGGTCTGTCGGAGAACAAACAGAGAGGTTAGAGGTGTGCGGAGAGGACATTTATTTAACTATGCTATTCCCTTAAAGCAGAACTCCAGCGCAAAATGAACCTTTGCTCTATTAAAACATTGGTACCTAGTCAATCGTTCTCTGAGATTTGTTTTCATGATAATCGAATGTAAAGAGTTTAATCTCTAAAACTGTTTAGCGTATAACGCTAGTAATGGGGGCATTGACTAAGTAAAAAGAAATCGCTAGTTTATACCACTAACAAGGCTCAAAATAGCCCCACACTAACACAGTAACATAATGAGGCTCCATACACGCAAAACGAAGCATTGAGAACTTTGTAAGTGTCCAGACCGTTTAATAAGAAGATACTTTATGAAGACAGTCCACTTCGTGTATACAGGCAGAAGCCATCTTTGGAAAACAGTCTCGATAAGTCGAACCACGAAAAGTTCAGCGAACTTCTGAACTGTATGAACAGCGTTCGTGGTTCGACTTGTCAAGACTGTTTTCTCCTGCCTGTATAACTGTCTTTATAAAGTATCTTCTTTGATTAAGTGCTATCAAAGTGTCTCAGAGTGTCGAAAGAGGGGTATCCCTTTAAGACGGTACCATGAGTGTGCCGATGTGATTTAACAACTTCCCAAAAGCTTGTCCCTGTCAATTTCAAAACGAATCATAATGCATCACACAGGAAGTCAACATGCACAAACATGATCACACTGACACTCTCAGGGCTGTGAGATAAATATAAGGTAAAAAATGCTGTGAAAGTGTTCAGTGACTGTGACTATCTCTGTGTTTTGACCCGGACATGTCCTTATGAGATTCACCCACAACAGAACAATGACTCACCCGTCTGGATCCTGATAGTTGATGTTCAGCCTCTTGGTGGAGCCCAGTAACTCTACAACACAAGATAAAGCACGCAGATGTCAACTTCACATCAAGAAAGTCAATAGAAAAGATATACTTCTGAAGAAAAACAAGATTCTAGGGCTGAGATTTGCATCAAAACCTTATATATGAGACACACAACCTGGAGTGGTGTACAGTGTAAAGAAAGTGGTTTAGATCTGATGGTGAACTGAAACTAATGACTAGAAAGCAGGGTGCCCAATTATATTTTTACTATTTGGTCTGGCTAATTTTTCATCTATCACCAATTGCATCACACCAGCATGGCTGTAAATCTCCAATGATTCGGTCTGGTTCTCGAGTTGTCCCATTTGGTCCTGAGTACATCCTAAAGAGTCCCAGCTGATATGCCACATGAAACAGATGAGAGGGCTGTGTGTTGACAGGCTATCTTACGCGGTACGCTGTGTAATGTGTGATGATCTGTAATAGACTCTCATCAATACACAGGCCCTCACTCGTCCTACTCGCCACAGTAACCGGACATTTCCCGGACATTTTGGGCGATCTCGAAACACATTTTCGAGCAGACTCATCACGGAGACTCACTAGTAGCCTAGACTTGTTGTTTAACTACTGCGCTCTGTTACTGGTAGGCGTGGCCTCCTAGGGCAGCGAAGCAAGTGCATTCTGGGAGTTGTTGTCTTTCATCTACATACGCCAAAAATACATTTTCTGGCTTTTCTCAGTCTAGAAAGCTCCAAATTCAAAAACAATTTCACATTTCTTTTACATAAATTACCCATTTTAAGTACACATTCATCTTTCCAGAGGTGAAGTATCCCTTTAAAATATCCCAAAACCACTGGAACAATGTTATATGCTGTATTTTGTTGACTTTGTGCACTTACATTATCCCAAATATTTCCAACAATTTTTAAATCCAGAGAAATGAGCTAAAACCGTGTCATTGCGTCGCATGTCAATGACGTCATATCCACGCTACACTCGATTTCTGGTTTACTTCAGTAGAAACCATGGAAACACCAGCGACTGTTTAAAACATTGTTTTATTAGACAGATGAGGGACTGTTTGGACATATTCATTTGAATTTTACAACAACCTGTAACCAAAAAGGTCAGAATAATTGGATAGTTTAATTGGATAGTAGAGGGTTTGACGTGTTTGTAGGCCTTGTTAGGTAGTTGGTAGATGTATCATGAGTGGACGAGTGGATTTCTGCAAGGCAGTTGTTAGTGTCCCTGATGGTTATATATTTTGGTGCCACTAGCGGTGCAGAAATAACTGCACCTTTAACTTTCAGGTTCATAACATCATGCAAAAAACGAGTTGCTAGGTAGGTAGTTCACATTGGTCTTTCCCATTACAGTAGAGCCCCGGAGGGCGTCTGGGATCCAGACTGATGAGATGGTCTGAGGACCTCTGGAGATTCCTGTTAGCTTACTAGGAGATACAGCACTAAATAACGCTGTCTCTTCCTGTGAACAACTGAGGGCACTTCATTAACCTCTGACCTCTGGCTGACCTCACTGGCCAGCTCAGGGGGCGTTAAACTGGCAGGAGAATGGAAAATAAGAGACCACTCAATGGTGATATTGGAGTCTTTGATCTTCAGCAATGGTGGCCCTTAAGGGAGACAATTCTTCCCCAATTCTTCTGAAGACCATAAGCCAATATGCCAAAACCCTGATTTACCACATCACTTTGTAAAAAGATGTCTGTTGGTTTTTATTTTTTATTTACTATTCAGCTTCTGAAAACATCTTCTGAAAGTGAAATTTGAATTTGAAAGTGAAACCTTGAAAAGGTTTGTTGATACACTGAAATCATTTTCAGAGATGTTAATTATTGTCAGAAGAAAGATATGGAGATTAGAGCCAGACCGATATATCGGCAGGCCGATATTATCGGCCGATATTAGGCATTTTCCAAATTATCGGTATGGGCAGTTATAATGGCCGATAAATGAATATTTTGTATCATATTTTGATAATAAATATTTTAACAAAATTTGTTACTATCATGTCCAGTTTTGCTGCTGTTAAATAAGCCGAGAATGAAGCGGAATTAGCTAGTAGTTACATTATGTTGTTACAGTGTAGTCCTTTTAACGTTTGACAATGTGACTGAAGTATTTCTTTAATAGCGCGTGACAGTTATAGCAATGAGACGAATCATCTCTCCTTGGCCTGTTATATTGAAAATGTATGTTTTACAATTTGTTGCGCGTTTCTGAAATAATAATTAAGAAAAAATATCGGCCGATATATCGGATTTTACAACCAATAAATATTTGCATCGGTATCGGACTTCAAAATCCTTTATCGGTCGGGCTCTAATGGAGATAATTTTTAGCCACATTGCCCAGCCTTAATTTACACTTGGGAACTTCCTTTATTATATTTAGTTTCATTATTCAATCTACATGTTCTGTTTTACAACAGCTTTCATTTTGTACTTCCAAATCATTCCCGAGTAATGACAGAACAATTTAACCAGACCACAGGAACGTCATAGGAACCGCGGCGTCCGCCCAAAGGTGAATCGACTGTTTGTATACCCAGTTCAGTGAGGTCAAAGTTCAATACAAGGGGTCATTGGGACAGAATTGGACCTAAAACACAGAAACTGGATACACACACGATGTGGTATCACGGTGATGATCCATCACCCATCCTTATTATGAAGCTGTCACAGCCGTGAGTGACCAAAACACAAAAAACCCCTTTGAAGTAAAGCTCTATAACCTCAATTGACATGGTCTGAATGAAACCTAGTTACCTTCCGTACATAATGAGAAGCTTTGAAGTGAAGATCTGAACGGGAATCGTTAATTTGCTTAGGTTATTTCACTTAACAATTCCATTATTCTGATTTTTGTCTTTTTGACTAATTCATTAAAAAGGACCTGCTAAAAGTGTGTAAACCGGACAACACTGGTCGTGCTAAAAAAAACACCTTGTAAAACGTTCATCTGCTAAACATTTGTTCGAGTTATTTTTAATGTCGTTCATGAGCGAGAAAAAGCACCTCCTCTTTGGTTACCACACTGCTAGGCTTAGAATAACTCCTTATTTTTTCATGCTAAAAGTGGCAGACATAAAGAATAAAGGGTTTTCCGCCACAAGAATGCATTTGGCCATTTTTGCTCAACTCAGCACAATTGAGAATTTAGCTCTTGAACTGCAATGCTGACTGCGATGCAAGTAGTTTGTAAAAAAGAAAGCACTAAATTTAGACAACCACTGCTTATGTCAAAAGTACACAATTATACGTTCATCTAAAAAAGAACAGCCAACGCCTTTCACTACTATAACTGACAATGTGTTGGAGCCAAGCTGTAAACATACACACCCAAATGAAAAGCATGGCTCATGATTTGCACAGATACATTGTGCAGTACCATTAAACATCACAGGCTTTGTTGCACAGGTAGTCACATCAAAACGGCTATGGTCTAGAATTTATAGCTAAGTTTTGCTGCACGCACTCAGGTCTATGAATGGGAACATTTACCCCATTCCACCAAGGCAGAGCTGTTGCTGGTTCGGAGCCAGAGCCTAGTTTCAAATCCGTTCTTTGTTTTTCGACCACCAAAGCACCAGCTCCGAACCAGTAGCACCAAATCATTGCTGGTCTTGAATTAAGAACCGCTTACGTCAGCGGCTGGGGGTGGGGTTACCGTCATAGATATCTATATAAAGGCTAGATATGTCGTCCACGCTGCTGGCCAATGGAGGTCGAAGTCTGCACCTGGCGGCCATCTTGGCAGCTCGCTCACTCGTAACATTGTGTTAATGGTGCATGTACTATTTAAATGACCGTAACTTGCTCAATTTTCTACCGATTTTCAAACGGTTTGTTTTGTTATAAACGTCAGAGATGTAGTTATGACATACTTATGAACAGTGGTGGAATGTAACGAAGTACAATTACTTTGTTACTTTACTTAAGTACATTTTTCATGCATCTTTACTTTACTTAAGAAGAATAAATAGTGCCTACTTTTTACTTTTACTTCGTTACATTTTGCAGCAATTATTGTACTTTCTACTCCACTACATTTCTACAACTTCTGTTACATTTTCGTTACATTTTCTGATCAGTTTTTCCCCTGCCAAAACGTAATCTGACCGTCTGTCCGTTGCACGTTTGTCTCACCAGTGACATTTGGTTGCCATAGATATATCAACCCGGTTACATTAAAATGCGTCTCGCACGCAGTGCGTTTATCGTGCAATTTATACCCGAGAATTTGTTTTTACGTGCATAGGAAACGCACCGTGTGTAATATACGTTTCTTTAGGATTATGGCAAGCCAAGAGGTTCAGAATAACACCATAAATTAATCGCGTTTACTGCCAAACATAGTTATTAACATATAGTAAGGATAAGCATGATGTGTATATTGCCTAATTACAAGCTTGTTTTAGAAATGGTGACAACAATTTTTTTCCATCATTATTGAACAGCATTATTGGAGTATTAGGTTGAATGAGTTAGAATTAAATGTTTTATTAATCATTAGAAAATAGACATTAAGACAGAGAATAAATTGTTATGCAAGTACTTTTACTTTTAATACTTAAAGTACATTTAAAATCAGGTACTTTTTACTTTTTACTTAAGTATGGTTGTCTTTGTGTTACTTCTACTTTTACTAAAGTAAATATTTATCTGGATATTTGTACTTTTACTTAAGTACTGAGATTCAGTACTCCCTCCACCACTGCTTATGAATAAAAAGTGTATAAATAAATAATCATCCAGATAATTATAGCCACGTTAATAACGTTTGTAAGAAAACAAACCGTTTGTAAATCCGTCAAGATTTTTTTGTGTTCGTGCTGACCACTCATCTTACATCAGCTTATCTGTGACAAGATGGCCGCCGGACCGGTGATGACGATGGAAACTCCGCCGTAACACATCTAGCCTTATACATATCTATGGTTACCGTGACCAACAAGCTAATCGTGCTAATAGCAGATCGATTGTAATCTCCACTAATGCAAGTTAAAATGGAG